CGAGGCCACATTGCCTGAAGCCACGGACATCTGTTGGTCCTCCAAGCTGGAAGCGGTCGTTGATCCTCGAGAGCTGAGGTTTTGGGTCGGAGTCAAGGCCCAGTGGGTACAGAAGGCCGGCACGGAAGCTCGATGTAAAACTTATTCCGCAATCTTTCTTAACTAGTGGAATGGGGACTGGAATCGCTGTCTGAGCTTCCACTTCTGACTTCCAGAAAGACACGTCTCCTTTCAAGGGACCCCATCCAGCGAGTTCGTTCAGAGTCTTTGCATAAAATCCTCTAGTGGGTAGAATAGGGTTATCCCGACGATCGTTGACCCACGTATGCGAGATGCTGGTCTTCACGCTATCTCCTGCGTTTTCGCGAATACCCAAAGACGCATCAGTAGCCAAACCGGTGACCTGGCGCCAGAAGCCATTGAGAGCCAACTCTTGTCGGTGGCCATGACCATTCAGCCACCGGAGCTTTGTCCAGCCGCCCTTTAACACCTCTTCGTGGCTTGACCAGGGCTTCTTTGTGTCACTCGCGACGACACCGGTCTCCCATCGGTAGTTAGGATCACTAAGAATCGGGGTTTCGAAAATCGCCTGGTAAGACGACCTTGTGCGTGTGCCGAGAGAAGCATTGAGATTCAAGGTTTCTGCACCACCAAGGATATTCCGCCAGAGGACGTTTGCGTATGCCGAACCTTCTGCGTTTCCAAGATCGGTTCCGGTTTTCACGAGTAGTCTAGATTTCTCTTTGGTAGCAAGATATATGCTGATGTCGGTAGGAGTGGTGCTTGGGTCGGTTTGTGACGGTTTATCGAGGTGAATACCAATTGGATGTTCAAAAATGTCTGTTGGTAGAGATTAGTGAACATTCACGCATAAACCTCGAAGGGTTTGAAGATTTTGAGTAAGCTTTGAGACCTACCGAATTGACTTAGCCTGTCTGTGCATTTTGATACCTCCGCCAGAGTCTCGGCCAGGGTAAGCGTGCGGTCTTTATTTTCCTTTAGCAAAGGGCTGAGAGCCTTCTCGAGAAAGCCCCGTCTCGTATGCGGCGCATTGAGAACCTGGACGGAGGAAATGGTGCATGGTAATGTAGAATTCTGGTCGATCTGGATACCGGACGAATCAGTCAAAATGCCACAAACACAGACAAACGCAATTGACAGCCAGCACTGACCAATTCAGCAAGGCGAGCCTGGGCCTTCTGGTAGATGTTGCTTATCCGCTCATTGACTGCTTTCTTGCGCTCCTCCAGCACCTTTGGGTCTACCTCCGGGTTTCGAAGACGGTCGAAGATCTATGCAAACAAGACATAAACAGGGTAAGCCGGATGGTCCAATCGAGTTTCTCTTCCCCGGGCAGGACTTACCTCGTCTCCGCCGTTGGATGAAGAAACCATTGCGGCTTCTGCAACAGCTGTCGACTGCGTCTGTCAATGGCCGTCAACCTCCTCTTTTTTTTTTTTTTCTCCCTTTGAAGCGCTTCTTCGTCCGCTTCGTCTTCGTCCTTTTTGCTTGTTCTGCAACTTCGCGGCGTCGACTTTCGCAAAACTATGTAAGCAGCGTCACGTGAGTATGACGGATGGAAGGTTGGGTCACGTGCCATGACTCGCATGGAAAAAGAAGCAGCGAAAAGCATCGAAAACATCGAAAGATCTTCATCTTCGTTCTCTCTCGGCATCAGCATCAGCGTCAGCATCAGCATCGGCAGCGGCATCGGCATCGGCGCTTTCTTCCCGCTTATACTAGTGCATTGTCCCTGGCGGACTGGTTGACAGGAGCTTCGTCGGCTGCAGTGCAGGGTTCTCCGGGTTTACAATTCTCAGGCTGCTCGCGTTTTGTCGTTCTCTCGAAGACGCCCCTTAACTAGTATTCTTACTGCGAAAGAGACAGCTGGACCAGCCAGGGTTGCCGCGCATCATGGCCACCAAAGCCGCCACCAAGCGAGTAAGTATATGATCTATCACGGCAGACCCATTAACGGCCATGCTAACGGGAAATCCCGAATCCTAGCTCACCCGCGAGTACCAAAATATCCAAAAGAACCCACCTCCCTACATTGTTGCACATCCGTCAGAGTCCAACATACTAGAGTACGTTTGCAACGCTCTTTTATTTCATTTATTTTTTTTGTTTTAACGGGGCGAACCCCCGGCCTGGACCTCTCCAGATTGAGCTCGCCGGCTAACTCGATGAAACGCATAGATGGCACTACATACTTACAGGAGCACCCCAGACACCGTACGAAAATGGCCAGTACTGGGGTACACTAATATTCCCGCCTGAATATCCGTTTGCGCCTCCAGCAATAAGAATGCACACGCCAAGTGGGCGATTCATGCCATCCACACGATTGTGTCTGAGTATAAGCGATTTCCACCCAAAGTCCTTCAACCCGGCGTGGGAGGTGTCGACGATCCTGATCGGACTGCTATCCTTTATGAACAGCGAGGAGATGACGACTGGGAGCGTGAGTGCCTCCGATGCCGAGCGCAGGTTATTCGCCGCGAGGTCGAGATGGTGGAACTCTACCGGTGGCGGCTCTTATACAAAAGCCGTTCCTGGCGTCACGTCGACGATCAAGGGGATTGCGAACATCAAGGCCGGAGACGGAGGGAAGAAGTTTCGAGCCGAGTGGCCCGAGCTGGACCAGGAGAACTGGAAATGGATGAAGGACAACCGGGTTGATCCAGCGACAGGACAGATATTACCCGACCCCAATGAAGCCTTGTTAGCCGAGAACAGCAGCAGCGGCAACGGTAGCAACAACAGTGCCTGTTCACCTGAGACGAATGCTCTTCGACGCAGGCCTGGCGGTGGGAGTGCCACAGGGTTAGGGGTTGTTGTGGAGGGTGGACAGAGGGCGAGAGATGCCGGGGAGAGCTGGTTTCGAAGAAATAAAGTATGGATATGCATCGGCCTGGTGCTGGGGTATGCACTCTTATCACGACTGTTCGACGACCTCCGGGCCTGGTAGATCTCAACATCAGCCGCCCATCCGACAATCTCTCCACACACACACATACACACGCACACACACGACACGCACGCACACGCAACACATGCATTCCTTGGCTCCTGCCCAATCGACAGACCTCCTCCCTCCCTCCTTCAGCAGCCCATCGACACTATTCATAGCATTATTGTTGGGGGCCGGCCGGCTACATGTGCAGAAGAGGCTACGCCCGCATCCACACACTAATGCTATACGGAACGGAAAGACATGAAACAGACCCTGAAGCCTGATAAACTTCCTCTCTTGGCAGCAGGCTTCTGATAATTCTTGTTTTTTTTTTTTTTTCCCTTTCACGGCTACTTAAAAGCTGAGCAGACAGCAATAATGGGTATCAACACCTCCGATCCCTTATTTCAGTTGCCGAGAACTCTTACCCTCGATATTGTTTCCTAGACTCGTCGCCGATAGATAGAGAGACCCCCCGGGCGTTGTGGCGCCCCTTGGTCAAAGAGAAAAAAAAGAAGCTGTTTGAGGCCAGGGGCCCATCCCAGCTGCGCATCACGTCAATCCGTCCTTCCGCGGAGTGTATCCAGCTGTCCGTTATATACATATTAACCCAGCCAGGCCAGAGCCGCGTCTGGCTGGCCGCTCCCTGTCCCCTCGTTGAACAAACTAGTTAGAGCTGTCGGTGTTACTTGTTGCTGTTGTTAGCTGCAAGACATCGCCTTGGCCGTCCCATGTAACTAAGCACTTACTTCGATAACTAAATAGCTACTAAGTACTATGTATGTAATTTGTCCGAGCTAGTCAAGCCAGAGCTGCTGCCAGTGTCAAGTCCCCTCGCCTCCTGTCTGCCTGCATCCATCCATCCACTCCATCCTCAGCCCGACTGGTAGATACTACATCCGAGAGATGCTACCTCATCAGCGCTGCCCAGTGGGTCTCGCACCAACCAGACGGGCCGGTCGAAGGCTAAAATAAAAAACGACGACGGCCCTCAGAAACGAAACCATTAATATTAGGTATTGACATATATTTATTATCTTACTTAATACTTATTTATTTATATATATTAACTACTGCTATTTGCTATTACTTAACTCCCTGTTGCGTAAGTCCTCTCTCTCTCTCTCTGTCTCCCTGGAGCCAGAAACGAGCTTCGCAAGGTAAACCAACGGCCGGCCTGGAAAACTGGTTTATACGGGCGCTCAAAAGGCGAGTTTCTGCTTGCTGTGCGCCAGCCGCGACCTTTCGTCCCTTCTCTGGCCCCCTTTCTCTCGGTTTTTTTCCTTTCTTTTCTTTTCTTTTCTTCGGGGTCTTTGCTTTTGGATGACGGCCGGATAGGACGCTGGAACGGCGTGCTCGCACGCTACGTATATAAATAATATAAGTATTTCCATGATCTAGCGCGGTCCTGACAGTCGATCACTCATGTCGACCATCTAACCAAACCCTGCCAGCACCGCCAGCAAGGCACCGGAAAGCACGAGACAAAGAAAAGCGAAGGAAAAGAAACAAAAAGAAGGACGGGCAAAGGCGCTCTCGGCCTCCCTCTGAAGCGGGTTGCAGGATGGCTCCTCCGAAGAGTCCCATCATCGTTCCCACTGGCTTTGCTGCGTCGCCGAACTCCTCTTCGTCTTCCTCATCCGGCGGAGGTACGCCTCCCGCGGCTCGCCCAGGGCCGTCGCCAGGTACGTTTGTTAGCTGTTGGCTGTTGGCTGTGGCTCACTCCTGTTGTGTGCTCTCTCTCTCTCTCTCTCGCTCTCTCGCTTGTTCCTGGGAGCTGAGCTCGGCTATGTGTTGATGTTCATTCAAGCATGGCTTTCGTCGTAGCTGGGCCAGACTCATTATTTTCGTTTTGACGGAGAAGATAGTTAATACGAGTCTGGGGGAGGATGTCTTTTTATAGAATATCATTTGCTAACAAGGCATTCCAGAACAATCGTTGGCTTATGAGCGCCCGTCGTTCACCTTTATCGGGCAGGATGATGAGGCCGCCTTGAAAGGGAAAAAGGGTTCTGATACCCGCAAGATGATACGGTCTCACGTAATGCGAGATGTGCGTCGTCGAGAGAGAATCGCCGGTCTCAAGCGAGTCTCGAAGAAGGCGTCCAAGAAGCACGAAGTGGGAGCCGCCCTTGGTTCAACAGCTTCTGTCCAGCGCCAGACAGACGACCAGGAGGAGTCGGCAACAGGCGCTGTCGCAGACGTGAGGCCGCCGCCCTCATGGGTCGCGTTTAAGAGCAAGGACGAATCAAAGGTACTCTATATATTCAACAACCCTCTGACGACCGCTGTATACCAAACCCTAGATCCGATGGATACTATCAAGGGTTTTGAGGGAATAGGCAATGTCGTCGGCAACCTGGTACATTATAGTAAGTGACATGGCCTCCTCGTCGAGTATAGAACTGCGGTGAAGTGGAGCAACAAAAAGTCTTACCATCTGAATATAGTCAACCATTGCCTGATACCCATGACTTTCCCCATTGAAGCCAGAAAAGAAGAAGAGACAAAGAAGCGGCTAGCCATAATGAGGGTTGCGGCTCTTTCATCGTCTGCTTCTTTTTTTTGCCCAGATGACCCTCAGCGCCGCGCACAAAGCGATCTTTGAACAGCATCATTCAATATCGCTGGCAGGCTCCGATAAAGATGAAGCTATGCTACTAGACCCTACATACTACGTTATGAAGGCCAAGTGTATAGCGGAGATGAACCGGAAACTGCAAGACCCAGACCCGATGAAAGCAGTCGATGACACCGCAATAGATATAGTGACAGGTCTTATATCTGCAACGGTATGGCAATACTCCCCTGGTTTTGTGACATCACTTGGTCTAACACCTCACCTCGCTATTAAATAGTTAACACTAGCTTTATTTGAAGAAGCCAGAGTTCACTGGCAGGGCATGAAGAAAATAGTTGACTACCGTGGTGGGATTCTAAACATGGCTGCGCAAGGCTCCCGTGGCATAGGGGCCGTTTTAACGTAAGTATATCCCGTCTTCTACGGGCTGTATAAAGAGCTGCTGCTAAGCTAACCAACCCACAGGTGTGATCTCAAAGCCGCATACACTTTATTAAGCCGCCCAATATTCCCCTTGGCCTGGGAGCCTCGACCCCTTCCGCCTAAAATTAGGGAGAGAATCGAACCTCCGCCAAACTCCCAACTACGTCACCTTAACAAAACATTATGCGCTAATAAACACCTCAGCCCCAAGTTAATCTCCCTCATGCAAGAAATCCGCCATGTTTTTTTCTTTGAAATCTTCAACCGTACAGATGCCTCGGGACTTTCAGACATAGAATATGAAATGTTCCTCATGAAGGCCCACGAGATGGAATACGAACTTTTAGACTACCCTTACCGCGCACCGGAGGCCCAAGGTGTCGCGGACAAGGATATATTAAAGGACAACCCAATAGAATCCGTTGCTCGGCTTACTGCCTTATCCTACTTCAACTCCTGCTTCGTTGTCTCCCCGCCTGAGTTTGGAACCGGAAGGGCAATGACAAAACACCTGAAAGACGCCCTTGCTAAATGTGTTGTGAAGCCACTATCCGAACACTCGAATGAAGATCGCTCCTTGCTAGCCTGGGCGGCTTTCATCAGCATTTCTGGCGCGTGGGACCGGACGCTACGGAAATGGCTGGTGGAATTACTGCACGATATCATTGTTTTACAGCACTGGCGGAGTTGGGAAGAAGTTGAGTCTGTGATGCACGGATATCTTTATGCTGGTCAGCTACATGGCCATATTTGGAGGAAAATATGGCTCGAGGCTCAGTCTTTCAGCTCCATCTGCGAGATCGTTGGATAAATGTCCTGCGGCCCTGACTACTGTAATTTTTTTTTTTTAATTTTTTTTTATTTTTTTTTATTTTTTTTATTTTTTATTATTT